TCCATAACTTACGGTACGGACCAAGCAAACGAGGTTAATAAGATATTTGTTATATGGCAAGGCATTGGGATTAAAAAGAGGCGAAAAGCAACAAAAAGTAAAGTTGACGGCGCATGTCAAACGAGAACTGCATTGAAACGGCTTCCTGTACGTGCCAAAAGTCATGTAATATTTGAGTCGCTCAAAAAGAAAGGTTTTAGTTTACTTCGAGAGAATTTAGCTATAGTTCAAAGTTTTGTAAAATACTAGTTAACAAAAGTGAGACTTTCTTTTGCAAATCATGTAAATGCAAAGCATAAAAGGCATCAAAAGAAGTCCTCAAGAACTCAACATGATATTGAGTTGAAAACTGTCGTACTTCAAACTTCAAGATATTCACAACCAAGATGAAAAATACTACAGCCTTCCATTTGTTTTCCTGCCTTTATTGGGAAAAAAACTCAAAAACGCTCTCCAGAAATGAATGAGAAGATTTGGAAAATTACGGCTCGCTGAACATGGATAGTTTTTATTTTATTTTTTTTCAACGTTTTGACTGTTTGAATCAGGGCGCCATATGCACAATGGCTGAAGTCATGAAGACGGCACACTTTCGACTTAATTAAAAAAGGTACTGCCGACTCTCCTGTCCACAAATGCATTCAAATTCAAGTGTAGATGAAATMTTACTGAAATATGAAAATACTTCAAGAGCGGATGAGCCTAGAAAACTACTTAAAACGTTAACGAAAGAAACTACTGGCTTCTTCACTCGATCGATTCAGATAAGTTCAAACTTGACGTTGTAAGCTCACTGAAATAATAAATTTACGTTAATTCTACTTGTAAACCTATCTTTATTTCATTTACTGAACTAGCCGCTATTTACCACCCTTTAATTCATAGTTTGACGTAGTTTTTTTTTATAGAATAGGTAGCTTTTCTGTTTTTCAAGTCGTACAAAATCGCTCAACTAGTGCCATGTAAATCCTTGATCGAAAGAGTTGTCGCTTGTATCATAGTTAATATAGGGGAATGGTTATGAAACCTATTGTTATATGTCTTTGTTCACTTTTTCCAAGCGTGACCCTGCACAATCCTTTGTTTTACGATTGTTGGCAATGACTGAGTGAACAGACAAAAATCTTTCTTTTGGCTACTAGTTCAAGATACTTAAAGATTTATAAGAGATATTTGAATATTCCTTACAATTATCCCGTAGGCAAAGCTTATGTTTACTTATTTTGCAATTTCGAACGAGCATAAATCAAACATTGTGCACGGTCAAGACTGGTTCAACATCAAAAGCGAACAAAGACCTGATAACAATAGGTTTCCTAACCATTCCCCTCTATTAACTATGCTTGTATGACAGAGGTTTCGCTGGTTTGATAAGTTTTACATTAAATTCCAGTGACTTTAGGTTAATATATATATACATCCTGCAAGATTGTAAATAGATTACTAGTATTAAATGTCTTTATGTATTATTCTTCTCGCTATGAGTAAATAAAGGTTGTACTGTATTGTATTGTAGACTAGCAAGTTCAAGCACATAAATTGAAAATTATTTTAACTATAATATTACTCAAAACCTTGATATATTAGTTCATTATTAAAATGAAATAATATATAAAACGTACATCTTTACAAAAAATGGTTACAATTCCTTTTACAGTGTTAAACAACACCTACAAATTACCTACCTGCCACGATCAGATTCATCTCATATATTGTATCAACAGCATTGCCATCTTGTAGYCTGACAGCATACTCTTTGGTATCATTGATGTTAAGATTTGTCATCTTGAACCAAGCACGACCAGCATTCACATCTCCAACCCAAAAGATTCTCCCTTTATATCTTGACGCAGATGGAGTTTCCAAGTCACTACTTACTTTAGGTTTATTGGTAAATTTGTTGATGTAAATAAAAGATGGTCTAATGAAGCCTTTATCCAAGATTCCCCATTGGGCTTCAAAAATGCTTCCACTTGTTCTGTTCCACATGAAAATAGCATCTTGTCCTGCGTTTCGTATGAAGGAAATTCCTGAAGAAGGTAATTTGGCAGTTTAGATATTGATATAGCTTTTTCAAGGTTATTATCATTATTGTTTGATATTGTATTTAGTATCTATTCTTTTTAAGTATCGCACATAGTATGTCTTATATTGTGGCCCAGTGTTTTATCGTTATTTAGGAACACTGCCAAAACAGCTAAATTAAAAGAGGTTTGAAAATCAAAATATAAGTATGGATAGGAAAAAAAAAAAAAAAAAAAAAACACTGTTGAAGAAGGAACGATTTTTTTTTGGAATCATCTTTGTGACAGGTAACTTAAGCAGGCGCCACTATATGCAAGGCAATGTAAGTAAGGCGCCCCTATATATACAAGGTAACGTATGAAGGCGCTCTTAAATGCAAAACAACGTTAGGAGCCCCTATTCAATCAATTCAAAAAACCTTGTCGTCGACCTTCTCAAGCCTACACGACTGGACCGAAAGGAACTTTGGGCAGTAATCATTAAATAGATGACGACTAGTATTAGAACTAGTTTAGACTGCGTCGGTGATATTAAAGTTAAAACAAAGGTGTCGTGGTAGATAATATTTTCACCGTAATAAGAACAAGAGTAACTGACGTTTCGGACGTTAGTCCTTCGTCGGAGTCGATGAGAGAAAGAGAATAATGAAGAGGTTTATATAGTGGTGTAGAGAGAAAACAAACCAATAAGAGAACAGCAAGTCGTTAAATAAAAGAAAACAAAAGGATCGAGAATAACAATGGTAGGTGAGAAATGGCTAATTAAAGGAGAAGCGTTCGTTCAGCCCGTGCGGATTAACTGTTCCAAGCGAATGGATCAAGCGCATTTCTTTTGTTTTGCGTGATTTATTACTACCGTGTGTTAGACAAAGACCAAAATCAATGGCATTAGTTTCCGAGTGGTTAGTAGAATTAAAGTGTCGAGAAACTGGTTTAGAGAGATCTTTCTTACGAATATCGTAAAGGTGGTCTCTGAACCGATCACCTAATCTTCGTCCAGTTTCTCCAACATACAGCATATTACAATAGGAGCATTGAATGCAATAGATGATGTTAGAAGAAGTACAGTTGAAATGCTCCTTTATATTAAAGGTAGACTTAGGACTTTAACAGAGGTACGGGGAGCAACAAAAGGGCAAGTGTAACAACGTTTACGAGAACAACGAAAAGTGCCAGGTTGTTTATCGGAAGGAACTTTACCTTTAACCAAAAAAGAACGCAGATTGCGGTCTCTCTTGAATGAACAGAGAGGGCGTTCTTTGAAAAGGTTAGAAGTGGTAGGATCAGATTTGAGTAAATTAAAAGCACGATTAATGATAGGTTTGACAGAGTTGTTAATAGGATGGTAGGTAATCGTGAACGGAATACGGTTTTGGTTACAAGTGCGAGTCTTAGGAGTAAGAGCAGTATTACGGTCTATGGATGAAGCTTTGTGCATAGCCCGATCGATGATAGTAACTGGATAGCCTCGCTTAAGAAAAAAAGAACGCATTTCTTGGCATTTATGAGAAAAATCGGCATCGTCACTGCACTCTGCACTCGGGAACTAATGCCATTGTTTTTGGTCTTTGTCTAACACACGGAAGTAATCATTAAAGCCGAGTTGACTCCATAATTTTATTCCATTACTTATATACCTGATTTACAGCACGAACCTTTGTAGTCAAGTGTTGAAGGGAACGTTTTTCTAATGCCTTCATATTTTCGAAATTGTGAATTGAATCATAACTACTTTGTTTTTCTTTCACTAAACCCAAAGACATGCATTTGATGGATTGTTTCTCGTCATCGTTATCTTTACTACTAGCGGGACAATTAATTCAGAACAAATATTTAAATGCTTCAGTGATTTTTACCCGTATTCCTTTCGGTCCAGTCGCGTAGGCTTGAAGTCGGTCAACCGGTAAAGTAGGCGCCCGTATATGCGAAATAACTTGAGTAAGGCGCCCCTATATGCAAAGTAACGTAAAAGGCGCCCCTGTAGTATGATTATAAAAATGGGCTTATTAAATTTGTGTGGTTGAGAAATATGTTATTGTATAAAAAGTGATACCCATACTTTCACTAAAAATTTTCAAAAAATATACAAATACCAATTTACCGACAAAAATATTGTTGTTTCGTATTTTACATTGCATTTGCATTATTACGAAATTTTGGAAAGATATCTATCTATTTATTTATTTTATAACTTTCACCACGATAAATGATAGTAACATAAAAAAGCTAAAAAAAAGTGGTGAGGGACATACAATAGAGCGAGGCTTCAAATTAAGCGTGCCCTACAATAAAAGCGATATAATGTATAATGAAATTAAAAGAAAAAAGAAAAAAAAGAAAAGAAAAGAAATTAAAAAATATTACAAGATATATAAAATTCATGATATAGAGTGTCAACCACATAT